CGCCTTGTCGCCAATATGTCAAATGATGCGAGTTGAAACAGTAATTCTTTTACACAAGTGATGAGAGATTAAACTCTGCTCTGTTGAAGATGCAAAGGATCTGCAAAAACATTTTGCCATAAGCATCAGCCACTAGGAAAGTATCTTTATCTAACTTGCGTGTGCCAGGGTCTGCTAGTATCTACCAACGTCCACCAGCATTCACCAGCAACCGGGAGTAGAGAGTATGAGGAAGTGGGAGGGTAGCAAACAGTTGGATTAGGCGTCGTGAAATTGCGGTGTGTGCAACAGCATCACGTTGAAGGGTGCGGTTGCACACGCCGCAGTTCATGGCTTCTAATCCAGCTGCTTGCCACCCTGCTACTTCTCCATACTCTCTAACCTCGTTCGCAAGTGAACGTTGGTGGAAGCTGGAAGACGCTGCTGGGCGCTCAGAACTCTGGTGGATGAATGTCGATTTGATATCCGTCGTGCATGGGAGCATGCCAACTCAAGTAGACCATATTAGAGCAAAAGTTTTGGACCGCTTTATGCTTCCCTCCTCTGTCGAAAGGTTGCCTGAAAGCTACAGTTAGCCTCGATAAGGGCTGGAAGAACTCTACCGAAATCAAACAAACGCTAATGTATCATTACCTCCTTATGGACTCAACTGATCCAACTGAATTCGGGAGTGATAAAAACCGCAAACAAATGCGCTAAAAACAGGGGGCAGTTCTGAAAAACTGCTTTGTAGTCTATTCTTTTGAAGCAAGCAGGAAACAAGGTTAGAATATATCCGTTCTTGATATCGTCAACAAGAAGACCATCAATGTTGACTCATATTGTTCCCAACAGGAGGCTCGGGAACAAAATACCAGCGAGGAAGACGTCAACAAAGTCACCTGTAGGTTTCAGGGGAATCAAATTGGAGTAACAATCGCATCATCTCTTGGCTATAGTGTTTCTGTCGCGACGCGGGTGGGGTTCCCCGGAGCATCCGCGCATAGATGGTTTCCATCAAACCTCAACGCGGTGTGGAGTGTTGTGGGGATAATGTTAAGGAATTACGCAGTGCTTCTCGCGGTTCTGCCTCGCAGAGATATTTTCCTGATGCGGTCCTTCAGCCTTAGTGCGAAGTCACCACAGTTCCCCGGAACCAGCGTCATCATTATCAAAGGAATGACCTTAGTCTCCGGCCAAAGGCATCCAAAGCATCCACCTTAAGCCTAACAAAATTATTGTGCTGTAGCGTTTCGTAGCGATTCCCTACAAGGGAGCCAAAACACTGCTTCATCGAATCAAGTGCTCAGTGATTGTCCTCGAGCGGAGCTGATTCT